AACAGTATAGTTTCGTACCTAGCGGGACCTGGAGCAGAATATCTGTTAACGTCCATCGGTACAGGTTATTTCTATTTTTTAATCAGTAGAAATTATACCCTGATTTTCAGCGCTTTCTTAGAAATTATACCACGGAGCTTAAAAGGTTGCACGGACAGTACCCCGTAAGTCATAGTAGAATCTAAATTTTTTTTTCATTAAACTTAAGGAGGTCCTTTCGCCGCCAATGTAAAATAAAAATTATTAGATTATGAGTAAATTCAATTTTTTTCTAATAGTTAAGGTCCTTATTTATCTAATAGTGAGGTTTAAATTATACTTTACCGGACAAATTTTTGAAAAAATAAAATTTTTAAATGTTAGTATTTGTTCAGAGTCTTACGAGAAAGTCAGACGTTTGCAGTATTTCTCGAATTATACTATCAGTCATGGATTAGATGAAGTAAAAAAAAAATAAAAATTAGATTTTCGAAATATTCAGGTTTCTTTTTTTTCAATAAAATATATCAGTTACCGAGATATTTATTGAGAAATTAATATTTAAAAATCACAAAAAATTCTCAAGTAAACTACATGTAAACAATCGAAGTACAGCGTTCCAAATCACGGACAGGTTACTAGCTAGTTGATTTGAAAGAGTCAAATTAATTTTTGTATTTAACTATTTTTTTTTTTTATTTTCAAAATTTCAACGATTAATGCCTCATATACTATTTATTATTTAATTTTAGGAATTTTTATGGGTTTCTTTTTTTAATTTATCGTATATTGACTACTACAATTGTTTTGACTCAACTGGAGCGAAAGGATTTCCTTAAAAATTTAAATACGAAAATTCATTACTATAATTTAATCGTTACCTTACATTATTATTAAATAAAATAATTTAATAATTTAATTAAACAACAACAATAAATAGTCAACGTTTGACTCAAGTATTTTTTCACAAAACTTGGACCTGACAACACCGCACTTAACAGCTGTTTATATTTATCTCACTGTGTAGTGTTGAGTTGAAAAACATAACCCATAAAAATACACAGGAATTACTAAAATTCAAAATTCGCGCGTTCTATTCTGTGCAACGTTGCCACACTGCGCTGAATCACGTGGTTTGTTTATTTTTAAATATGTCGGCCTGAAATTTTCGTGAATTTCTCATCTTTTGCATTAAAATATCTTTAAAAGCCTTCGGCAGAAAATTTTCATTTTATTTTTAACGTATTCTACGAAAGTTGATTGACTGAAATAGAAGTTTTTTGTTTTTTAATCTTCCTATGAGGCAGTCACATAAATCGATATATTTGCAATCCGCCAATAGTCTCTATAGGCTACATGTTAAATTTCAATTTTTTAATAATTTATTAAAGGATAACCCTTCGACAGATCTATTCAAAAAAATTAATTTAGACGTATGAGAGATAGCAATTCATAACATACCAAAAAATTAGCTTCTGATCTTCAAAAGTGCATTAGTGTCCGTACAACCTTAAATAGATCTATCTAAGCTCCGTGAATTATACTCAGCTAGCACAAATGAAATCAAGTTGACGTACACTTGCGGCTGAAATAAAACAGTAAGGCAACAGTTGTATTTATAACTAGCTTATGTCAAGTTAACGTCATCTTTTCGTAAGCTTCGCGTCAACTTTCCCTGATAGCTACAGTTTCAGACCAACCAAGTTGGTGTCAGATAGTTGCCACCAACTTACCGACAACTTGCGGTCAACTTCTGAATTTGAAACTGTTAGCGTCAAGTTAGCTACAAGTTTCTGAGAAAAACAAGACCAATCTACTGCCGCAATATGTCGCCAAATTTCTCGAGAAACTTGTCGTCAACTTGGTGTGAAAGAGTTTCGAAAGCAATTTCTGCCGACAACTTGGTGAACAACCGAGTTCATTTCCAAGACTTGCCGCCAACTTGGTGACAAGTTGCTACAACAAATCAACGGAAAGTTGCGACCGGTTTGGCTATCAGGGTTGAGTGAACCCACGGAGCTTAGATAGCTCTATCTAAGCTCCGTGAGTGAACCTTTCGGTCAATTCAAGCAGTAGATTTGCGTCAACTTGATGAGTAAGTTGAAGTCAAGTTCTATGAAATTGTTGCTGTTGCAAATGCAAACGTTGACGCGAAGTTTACGTAAACTTGACATAAACATTGAGTACCAACTATAATTGATTGTCAACTTGTGCTAACTGGGTATATTAGTTGGCTTCCAGTAGTTATGGTTCACTTAAGGTAGTTGTAGCGTGAAAGGCATTTCAACAGAAAGTTATGAAATTTTTTTTATCGAAAGATAAATATATTAATAATTCATTACCAAAATTTCAGATCAATTGACCGCACCGTTTTTGAGTAATTAATTTTCGAAATCGCATCTTTTACACGTAGAGGAATAGAGAGATCGTAAAGATAGTATGAAATCT